AAATAAAGAATCCCCACAGTTAACTCCCCCTCCATCTCCAGACATGCTTGCTTGCATCCTCCCATACATCTTAAGGCAATGCTTCCTTTTATTGCAATCTGTTTAGTGTGTCATCAGGGCGCTCCCTCCCCTCCACATATGCTCTCAGAAATGAGTAATCTCCCTTTTGCTGGTGACTCCAGCCTTCATTTTTGAGTCAAGTGCCTGGTATATAGTACATGCTCAGTAAACGTCTTGTAAATGACTCAAGTTCAGAGCCACAACTTTACCTACCTGCTGAGCTGTTTTACTTGGTCATCAAATGTTACCTCCAACTCCACAAGTCTAGAATGCAAAGAATTAACTCCTTCTCAGATTTGGCATTTCATCATTTCAGCCCAGTTTCTGGCAGATCTAGAATAATTCTCTCATATGCCATACACAACACTACAAAGGCTTAGACTGCCCCTTCTGTTAACTAATTATTAAGTTTTGGAAGTCTCTCTTTTTTTTAACCACAGTACTATGCATATGGAATGCAAGCTGCCAAGGCAAGGCATCAACAGAGCTTGATTGTCCCATTGAAATAGCCCTTGTGGAGCAAACTGCCTTAAGTCAGTCCATGCTCCAGTTTCTCTTTGCATCCAAGCTGGAGAACTAGCTCTCTAACTGCTCCTTGAGTGTCCCTAAGTCGGACACGTTCTATGGCTATTTTTAAACTTTCCTTTTTCATGATACAGTTCCCTAGGCTCAGGGGTTTCCCCTTCCACCCTCTCCATCCCCTTTCCCCTATATTACTTCAATAGTAACCATCACAAGTTAAAGGCCATTTCAAAAGTCAAAAATCCTCCCATAGAATTCAAGGAACACCACAGTTTGGACCTGATTCAATTTCCCAATGTTACTGCTATTTTTTCTCAAGGAGTTCCGTAAGAGAGCCCAGGTGATTTTTCCTGCTCTCACAGATTGCACGCGCATGCACATCTGTGAGCAGATGTGCCCTTCCCCATCCATCTCTACTACACCCTCCCCTTCGCTATATGGGTCTAACAATAGTTGGTGGCCAGCCTACCTTCTAGCCACCTTTAGTACCTCCAATCAGAAACCTTTATTATGCTCAAGGTAAGTGTGCAGATTTTACATTGTAGTTCATACACAGCTTTAATCCTTCAGGAAGATTTTAAAATATTTAGAGTGATGTCATGTTGTACTTCAATATCCTTCCCAAGACCCCGAACATGGTTCACCAGTGCCAGGCAATATTTTACACCTCTTAGATAAAAGTGTTCAATGAGGTTTTCATTAATCCTTAAACTACATCTACGCTTCAAATCTCAAAAACCATTTTAAAGTTGCACCACCTTAACCTCATTTAAAGATATACAAAGGTTAAATTGGAAATTCTTCAGCGGAAACTTTTCAAAAGGCATTCATATAATAATCTTTACAACTCTAATCCAACATTTAAATTTATTCTCCCAGCTAAACTTTATGAAACATTTATCAAGAGTATTTGTCTTCGTAACTACGAATGGAGGTTCTAAGGAGAAATACTTTAAATACAACTTACAACAGAAGACTCTGAGGGAAAAAGAGGTTCTAAAACATCAAATAATAAATATTCCAGTGGAAACAGATTTGCCACTTTACTATTTAAAAAAAAAAAACTGCACTTTAAATATTTTCTAAGAGTTCACCTCCCATTTGGAAAATTCTTTTAGTTTTGCACTAAAGAACTAAGCACAGGTTAAATACCCAAATATTCATATCCTTCCCACTGGTGTAACTATGGCAAAAATGTTCATTACCACAATATTAAGAAATATCAACAAAATGAAGTTGAATAACCAATTCATGAGGAGGAGTTTGAACTGGATCAAATCCTGGGTTTTCTTTCTTTACTCCAAGTTTCTTTTCTATTTTAAGGTAGTGGCAACAGAAATTTCTTTGTTTGAAAGTCAGTAATGCTGGAAGTCTTAAGTGATAGAACAGGTAGCCCGACTTCTACGTCGAGTCTCTCCTCAGAGAGAGAAAAACATTGTGGATGAAAGAATTTTGTTTTTATTTCTGGAAAAATCATTTTTCCATCATTCTTCATAATTCTCAAAAATAAACTTCTCGAAGTTATAGGCCAGTCAACCACTTCGCTGCAACTTGTGGAAATACTATACATTAATTCCAAGAACACATGCTTAACTCAAGCTCTCTTACTGTTCTAAAAGGCCCTCCTAATTTTTCAACAAAACTTGAGAATTTTACAAGTACACAATACACTTGTGCATCTCACATGTGACATTTTTGCAGAAAGTACAGAAAAGTAGCCTGGATTCAAAAATCACACTGCCTGCTATGTAATTATTTTTAGGGTATTGTACAAGTTCAACTACTGCAAAAACCTTCATGTTGTACCAAGCACTGAAGAAAGATAATGGAAGTAAAAAATGAAGGATGTGCAAGTTCACGAAGACGGAATGACAAGCATTCCCTTCTCTGCTAATACGGAGATGACTGTGCAACGAAAACAAGGTTGAACAAAGTGATCATAATATTTAGAGGAGATAGATTGAGAGGAACAGTCTGTAATACTAGACGATTGACATTTTAACCTACCTTGTGACTCAAAAATTCAAAAGTCAGGCAGCTGAAACAATTAAACATTTTTAAAAGTAGGGAGTAGTAAGAAATGCCGGGTAGCAAGCAGCTCCTGAACTACAGAAATCAAACAGACCAGAATACACATACATCAAATAAAATCCATACAAACTCAGTCAAGATCAGAAACCATTTTCTCCCCAGTACACTGTTCCCCCACCATCACAATCTTGATGAGCCGGTGGTATTGTGCTGACGCACGCACGCACGCACGCAGGCGTGCAAACACAATGAAGACTGAAGCATGGAGACCCTGCGCGGCAAACTTCACAGCGACACAGTTGAGACCCTCAATACAACAGAAGGGAGAGAGCGGTGGAGAAAGTTCCCGCTTTGCAAATCCAAACAGACTGCAAACTGCTATTTTCTAAACGCAAGCAAAGACAGAGGCGAATGAATGGGATGTAAGCCACTGATGGGGGAAGAGAGAGGAGGGGAAGGAGGGGCAAGGAGGCCAGGGCAGAAACAACTTTGAGGCACTTCGCAAAAACTGGAATAGATTAACCTTAAAAAAAAAAAACCCTACTATTTTCTGTGTTACATTTCTCTAGCCACATCCCCTCCCCCTTATTAAACATGCGCCAACTTCCTGGGACTCCATAAAGGGCTCTAAACACAGCTGAAAGACCTGGTTCTTCAACACACCAGGAGACCTAGGCTAGATAAGTGTCCTACCGAAAGTCCTTTCTTGGAAAAGGATTTTAAAAACCACTAACTGCATCAAATGAGATGCTACTTATTAAAAAATAAAAAGATAAGTTTCATGTACCAAGAAGCAAAGGTCCCAATGCAAAAAGCTTTTGATTTCGACTAGAAACACACACTATTTGTCACTCTCCACAGCTTTCCTGAACTTGAAAAAGTTTACTCTTACGTTTTTAGCAGACCACGAGGGTCTGAGGCTTTCGTGTTTTTAGCATCTGACCTATACATAAATGAGTTGTTTGGGCTATCTAGCGGAGATGGGCACGCGAGTGCCTTAAGGTAGTTGATCGGGAGTTGGCAGAACAGTCTGAAATGCAGCAACTTAAAAAGGCGATGGTTTAAAAAGTCTTTTTACATAACTTTTTCTTTCTTTCAAAAAAAAATATATATATACACAATAGGGGGTGTGTGGAGGAGGCTGGGTAGACTGCCCACGTAAGAACTTGGGTGCCCTGCCTTAGCACAGTACAGAAAGTTTCCTTTGCCACATTAAAGGGAGGAAGAAGAGGCTGGGAGGCCATCACCTCACTCTGAACAGGAGCCCTGCATTTCTCACAGCACCTTTGGGGGCTGGGCCAGCTTGGGCACCTAGGTATGATTTTGCCCTTAAACATCTGCACCGAAAGAAAAAAAAAAAGCCACCCTGGGTCTTCGCATTTACACACAGGAAGAGCTGAATTCAAAGCCAGCGCCGCCCCTGGTCTTACCCCACCCCAACTTGTGTGTGTGTGAGTGTCCGCCTGTCCAAGGAGGGGGGTGGGAGGGAGGTAGCGACAACGGAGAGAGGGCGACTTGTATTTTGTCCCACAAACCAGGGCTCTCCCAGGTTAAGATCGCCCACTCAGAATCCCCATAGGCGCAGGTGTCTCTGGCCTATTTTCATCACCCCCTCAACAAGCAATTCCCACCGAGTTGCGCGCCCCGTCCCTCCTCGCCTTCTCAGCGCAGAGCACCACCTAGCCTAGACGCCAAGAAACACCTCGAGCCCTACTCGGGGGTCACCTGGCCAGGGCGTCTGGCCCAGCCTTCCCTGGAGCCCTGGGGCCGCCCCTCGTCCCCGGGACCGAGCACGAACACGCCCGGGGTTCCCAGACAGTCACGTGGGGGACGGAGGGGAGGCCTGGTTTCCTCACCTGCATCCCGGGCACTTGGACGGCCACCGGTGAGTGGGCCATGAAGACGACTGCTGCTCCGCACGGCTCCTGCGCTGGCGTTTGCGTCTGGGGCTCCGACTGGCTCCTCCTCCGGGAGTAGTTCGGCGGCCCTCGCAGGCTTTTCAACCGGGGCCTGGAAGGACACACAAAAAGTGGGGTTCCCAGGCTGCTGGCGCGGAGCCCGGGGCTGGGAGGTGGAAGGTCGGCAGCGCAGCTCCCGGGGACTCAGTCTACCTTTCTGGCGCCTGCCCGCTGCTCTCGCCACCGCCTCCGCTGCTGCTCCTTTTCCTGAACGCGGGGCGCTGCGTCGAGCGGCGGCTGGGACCTGGGCTCGAGTGATGCCGCTCGTCTGCGCCTCGCCGCTTTAGGAAGAGGAGGTGGAGGCGCCCCAGCCACCCGCCTGCTCGCCCGGCCCGGGAGGCGCTTGGGGGCGGGCCCGCCGTTGGCCCTGCCCCCGCCCAGCCGCCGGGCGGTGTCAGCGGAGCTAAGGCTCCTGGCAGCAAAGGGGCTTGCCCGGGGCTGCGGGAGCCCGAGAACGGGGAGCCTCTCCCGGCACGCGGCGGGGAGAACCCAGGGACGGGGACACCGGAAACACGGCTCAGTCTGGAGTGAGAGCCAAAGAGTTTGGGAGAGCCCAGCGGGACGAGGGCGTCCCGTTCGCGGCCACGTTGCAGGCAGGCATGCGAGGCTGGGACCCAGGCAGCGTCGGAGACGTCTGGAGTTGAAACTTGTAGAATGTTGAAACTCTTTCCGGGCTCGCCGACCTGCTGGAAGGTGGGGCCACGCGGAGCCCCCGGCTCGGCGGTCGCTAGCGCTTTCCCGCCTACACGTCTCCTCAGCCGTAGGCCGCAGCCCTGGGTGGATCCGTAGCCACACGCCTGCTTTCCAGGTTCCCTGTCCCCAGACATACTTCAGGTAACTTCAGCCGGAGGTTTCCCCCTTGGTTCTAGGGCTACCAGTTGGATGTGTGCCAGACTGGGGCTTCCTCCCCGAACCCACCCCCCTCCTGCGCCCGGTCCCTACCCCAAGTTCTGCACGTGAAAGGGAGGAGAAATGGGAAAACAGATGGCGTATCGGCAGACAAATTAATGAGGATAATAGAGGCGAGGGAAATGAGATTGGATCATTAGCAGGACTGTTTTATTGAATTCGGCACACATGGCCTTGGTCTCGGCCACTCCCTGCCTCCGCCCCGTGTTCTGTGGCACTCCAGGGTGTGTGTGTGGGGGGGGGGGCGAGAAAGGCTCTTTTGAAAGTATCCTAATGCAGCTAACAACAGTATCCCATAGTCATCTCAGTCGCAAGAGTCTCATTGTGAAAACACCTTTGGGAGGGCACGGGAGGTTAATTACATTTTAAGAATGCAGTAGCCAAGTACCAGTTGCAAAAACCTTGCAGTCTGTAAGGAGTCTGTACAGGCAATCATTGTTGATACCCACACCCAACCCCCCCTGCACTTGCCACCTAATCGGGGGTTCTGGGAGACATATGACAAGTATTTCTCCATTTTTAATCTTTTTCAGAGAACAATATAGGAATATCAACATTAGTAGTGGTAGTTCGTGGATGTCGTTTTCCTTGTGCCAGGGATTACTACTTTGTTGAATCTCCCCAAGGGTCTTCTACCCTCGCCTTCCTCCCAACACATACCAGTTTGCAATTGAAGGGAAAGGCTCTGCCGGGTAAAATCATTTGAAGCAAATAGCACACGGTTACTGCCTGGTAGAGCTGAGAGTGGAAAACCCGGGCTCCTGCAACTAATGATCGGCTTACTACTGCTTATATGGTTTCTGTTTTTAGACATTTATTTTCTTTTTGTTCAAAAGGCAGAGTTACTGAGAGAAAAGGTGAGAGAAGGCTTCCATCCATCTGCTCGCTCACTCCCCAAATGGCTGTAATAGCTGGAGCTAGGCTAGTCTGGAGACAGAAGCTTCCAGAGCTCCCATGTGGATGCAGGAGCCCAAGGACTTGGGCTCTCCTCCATTGCTTTTCCAGGCCAGAAGCAGGGAGCTGGCTTGGAAGTGGAGCAACTGGGTCACAAACTGGCTCCCAAATGGGATGTCGGTACTGCAGGCAAAGGCTTAGTCTACTGCACCACAGTGCCAGACCCAGTTTCTGTTTGTTTTAAACCATGACAAAGGATATAATTACACTGTTCTGACTCCTAGTTCAAGACCAGGCTCTATTTGCAGTTAGATGGTAGGCCTCGGTCTATTTTCTGTGTTCCACCAGCCCAGCTCCCACGTAACAGTGCCATGGACGTGTCTTAGGCTTCATCTTACCCTGCAGGTGTTGGTAGTGGTCGGGAGTGAGCCCAAGATTCTGTATTGCGAAGAGCTTCCTGGTGGAGCAGACACGGCCGTGGAAGCAGCCAGGGTCTGAGTCCAGCTCCACGGTGAGTCCGTGTCCAGTGCTGCTGTCTCCCCGTAGTGCTCGCGAAGGGAGCAGCACTGGCACTGTGCTTCTTTCTCCTCATGATTTCATATATTTCCTTTGTGTTGTCTGCTTATCAAGATGATCTAGGTCCTCAAGGCCAAAGACACAGCTTCTCTTATAGGAGAATAATTCAGATTCAATGACAGTTCTCTGGGGGACATGTCTTTTTTTTTTTTTTTTTCCTGGTACATTTCCTCCAAGTCCAGAACATGGCCCAGAGTAGACCCCTCATTTGTTGAATGAATGAGTGTGTTTCCCCAGAACTTTTCACTAAGTAGGTGTGTAATAGGTATACTGTTTAAACTCTCGAGTACTACTCTTGCTAAACCTCTATGTTGTTTACTTTATTATGTATTATATCTTTCATTGTCTTTTTTTTTCTCCTAAGTTCTTTCCAACTATCTTCATCTTAGAACTGCCTAGGAGCAGCTCATGTAAATTTAAGTGTATCAGAGAAGTGACTCTCCTCCTTACCATTCTGGATGGGACTTATATAATGCTGTAGGAGACTAAAAGGAGACTTTGGGAAACTGGACCCCTGACACATGCTGCTTTTGAGAGCTCAGTAAACTTTTGAAATTCACTTGTGTCTACCACTACTAAATAAACCATCTGTTGTTATTGCTATAGAGACCACCTGAGTTACATGAGCTGCCTTGGTTTATTTGTGCTTTTTTCCATTGTGTGTGAGTATATATATAAAATCTTTTGTTTTTATTGGAAAGACAGATTTATAGAGAGAAGGAGCTGAGCTGATCAGGAGCCAGGAGCCTCTTGCAGATCTCCCACCTGGGTACAGCTTTGGGCCATCCTCGACTGCTTTCCCAAGCCACAGGCAGGGAGCTGGATGGGAAGTGGAGCAGCCAGGACTGGAACCAGTGCTGATGTGGAATCACAGCACATGCAAGGTAAGGAATTAGCCACTAGGCTACTTTGCCAGGCCCTACATGAAATCTTGTGAAAGTGTCAGCATATGAAAAAAAGAAAACTCCATCGTGAGTACCAGGAACTCATTCCCCTGCCCCCTTCTTGAGCAGCTTTACTTTTCAAATGATTAACTAAGCAATATGATGAGAACTTCCAGTATCTTGTGATGTGCTCCCATCCCCCTACACAAAAAAGCTCCTGAATATTTAACTTCAAATCTCCAGAGCCTAATAATGTATTATAATATAGTCACATTGCTTGATAGAAATAAGTGCTTGAGCACCAGTCCTTTTGCTTTTAGATAGCCCCATTGGGTGCTTCATAGCGTTTTGTACCTGTTTGGTTTGTGTGACCTGAGTGCCCATGAAAACTTAATAAACATGTGTGTTAGGTAAGCTTATACATACATGAAATAAACAGTGAATAAAGCTCAGCGAAATAAGCTTAGTGAAATGGTGTCCTCGAACCACAGCCCCAAAGGTTCATCATTTGAATTCAGCATCTCCTAAAGGTAAAATATTTAACTTATCTATGCTTATAAATATTTACTGAATGGACTGATCATAACCAAAATGTGCAGGCAGATAAAAATGGTCTGGAAAACTTCATTTAAAAGATTGATTTGGTTGGTTAGTCAAAAGGCAGAGTGAGAGAGAAAGAGAGATATTCTGTGTTCTGGCTCACTCCCCAAATGGCCACAATGAGCAAGGCTGGGCCAGGCCAAAGCCTCCAGGTCTCCCCAGTGGATGTAGGGGCCCAAGGCACTTGCACCATTCTCTGCTCCTCTCACAGTCTCTTAGCATGGAACTAAACCAAAAGCTAAATAAAAACAACCAGGACTTGAAGTGATTCTGGTGTGACAAATACCAGCTTCTTTCACTGCATCACAACACTTGCCCTAGAAAAACAATAACAAAGGTATCAATGGCTTAAGGCTGTGGTACATACGCAACCGTGGCCAGTTTTGTCTGCTGGTGATCATTTTTGACTGTCACAAGTGGTGAAGAGGTCTGATACCGTCATCGAGCAGACAAAGGTCAAAGATGCTGCTAACTGTTCTCCAAAGCACAGGCCAATTCCCACCAGCCCCAAATGACCGTGGTTGCCAAGGTGTGTAACATGCTAGTTGAATCGGGGGACTAGTTACCAAGAAATAGACTTGGGAGTCACTGTTCTCTGAGGGTTTCAGATCAATGTGGAGTTTGGGTGCCCAAAGCAGGTTGGATAGAGAGAGAAAAAATGAATAAATGAATATTGGACCACATCAAATAGCTAGTGGAAACAAAGCAGCATTCCTTTGTTACTTTTATACTAACCATTGTACATCTGTCTCCCAGAGTAGAGATGGAAGCTAATGACAAATATTATTAACAGAAAATAACTCTAAGAAAGATGATTTGTTTAAAAAGTATTTCATCATGGGGCCTGTTCTCGTGTCGCAGGTTTTCTGTAGGAACCTTCCAAGAAGTTAGTTCATCAAACTATGCGAACTCTTCCTTCAGTTTACAAAATGTACAGATTGGGTTTTGCGTGTTGGACTTCCACATGTTGAGCCTAATGATTTTGCTACAATACACAATGTTCTGTAGAGGATAATGGCAAACTGATGTCACTACCTGAAGTTTTTTCAATTAGCTGAATATTTGCAGATTGAAGAAATTCATCTGGGTAGATTCTAGAAACTTGCCACCCAACAGAGGAATATGTGATTGAGGTTCCAAAGCTCTGTACTGATATTTGGAATGAAATCATTCAAGGGTCCCCTTTGCTCATTTTTTTTAAAGATTTCTTTATTTTTATTGCAAAGTCAGATATACAGAGAGGAGAGACAGAGAGGAAGATCTTCTGTCCACTGATTCATTCCCCAAGTGGCTGCAGTGGCTGAACCAATCCAAAGCCAGGAGCCAAGAGCCAAGAGCCAGAAGTCTCTTCCAGGTCTCCCACACAGGTGCAGGGTCCCAAGGCTTTGGGCCATCCTTGACTGCTTTCCCAGGCCACAAGCAGGGAGCTGGATGGGAAGTGGGGCTGCCAGGATTAGAACCGGTGCCCATATGGGATCCCAGCACAGGCAAGTTGAGGACTTTAGCTGGTATGCTATCATGCAGGACCCCCCCCCCCCCCCCCGCCGCTTTGCTCTTTTTAATAGCAGCATGTGTAATACCTCAAAGTCACCTCCCAATGCTGTGTGAGTATCGAATAGGAAATCATGATAAAATGGTTGCTACAGATGTTGTATCCTCACCGTTGTTCCAACAAAGCATCCCAAGGAAAAAGCTACTTGAGTCATTTTTTCATCAAGAAACATTAAGCCTGTGTAGTTGCCGAACTCTCCCGAATAATCTTGCACCTTTGAGGGCTTACATAATCCTCTGTGTGGCATCATCTGTAGCAGAAGCTAGACTGAGACTCAGCCCAGCTCAGTTCTCTCGCTGACTTGACTTCCTGACACTGCTGAGGTGGGTGGGAGCAGATGCTGCTTGAGTGGTTTCCTGTGCAGAAGCTCTCTCGGTTTGAAATGTTCACATTCAGGGAGGAAATAATTGAGCTTCTTGCGCTTGGCCATGGGCTATAAAACTGAGACGTAAAGATGGCTGGAAAACTCTGATTCACCTATAGAAGGAGTCCAGTTCCGATTTCACTACTCGTCAAAGCTCTCGCAGAATCAGCTGGCGGTGGCAGAAGAGGGTTGTGGCTGCCTGGGCCCCAGCCGGAAGGCCATCAGCCCCAGTCACAAGCTCACTCACAGTCTCCTCCACTGCTTGCTACTCCAGCCACGCCATAATGCAGGCTTTGTCTGGCCACACGGGTACATACCGTGGCGGGACTGGGGAGGTCTTTGGGAGAGATTCTTTGAGAGACTGAGCTCTTTGTATAAGGAGGTCAGGTAGCTTCTTTGTTTGCTTTCCAGGGTGAAGTTTTCTAGCCACAGGAGAGCCTTTCATGTGTTCACGCGAACTGATGCTAAACACCCCAGCCGGGTGCTATTTTTGCCCTCCAAGTGGACTTTTTAAAAATGTGTTCAATTGACCACTGTTCTTGAATTTGTAGGCGTCTCAAGAAAATAGTTGTACTCAAAGGTGGCAGTTAAAAACAGGAAAAAAAAAAAACCTGGCAGTTGACACCAAATAGGAAGTGACTATGCCATCGGCTCATACTGAGGAAAAGGAACTTGTTGCCAGGACCTCTAAGAAAGGCAGTTGTGTAAGTCACACCCTTCAATTTGCCTGCCTGAGCTCCTGGCACTCTGTGGGCAGCATTTCCATGGTCTTGCTACTGGTATACCCAAGAAAACATGAACATGGTAAGGGAAGAACAGATGCCACTTGTGGGCTGTTATCAGGGACTACCAGAAGTTTCGGTGGAGTAAAAAGTCACCACCCTAAACAAGCAAAGCTCCATCCTAGAGGGTTTTTCCCTTTAGGCCACATCAATATTTTTAGGTTAGTTCACATCTGGCATGTCATAGGACGAGGCCCACCACAAAGCTCCAACTTCAGACCACAGCAGCATTCTTTGCTGGGAAACAGAGCATAAAACATCTTTTTGTACCTTCGATCTAGCCCCATATCCATTTTAAGTCCCATTGACTGCTTTCCCCCCCTCCTTCTTTTCTCTTGCCCTCTTTCCTTTCGCATATCTGTCTTGAACATGGTGACTAAGAGTGCAAAGAAATGCAAGGAGCTTGCTTTCTCACAGCAGAATGCCCCAGACCGCAAGCTACATGCAAAGTCTTAGATGTCTATAGTAGGCAGCTGTCAAAAACAGTAGAACAGGGGGCCCAGCACAGTAGCCTAATGGCTAAAGTCCTCACCTTGCAAGCACCGGGATCCCATGTGGGCACCAGTTCGTGTCCCAGTAGCCCCACTTCCCATCCAGCTCCCTGCCTGTGGCCCGGGAAAGCAGTCGAGGACGGCCCAAAGCTTTGGGACCCTGCACCTGCTTGGGAGACCTGGAAAAAGCCCCTGCCTTCGGACTGGCTCAGCTCCAGCCATTGTGGCCACTTGGGGAGTGAATCAGTGGACCAATGATCTTTCTTTCTTTCTCTCCTCTCTGTATATCTTACTTTCCAGTAAAAATAAATAAAAATTAAAAAAAAAAACAGTAGAGCAACAAGCACATGAAAGCAATTTACTTACATGTGTAGATCCTGGAAGGCCTCACAGAAGAGGTGATGCTTGAGCTAAGACTTATAAAATGAGTAGGAGCCAGGAAGAGTATTGGCGGGGGTGATGGTAGTAATAGTGAGGAGCTAGAAAAGAGAGGGGCCTCCGGGCAGAAGGAGATGGCGTGAACAAGTGCCTGAATCGAGCACATACGATCCACACCTTGATGACCTGGTGAAAATATAAAGTGTGCCCTCCCACTCACACAGACTCTGAATTTGTCGGTCTGAGATGCAGAAAGGAGGCATGTATGTCATTTTATACAAGCCTCCCTAGGTGATTATGATATATACTGTGAGTCAGAGAAAGGACGAGCTTTGTCGGAGGACTAGCTGGTAGTCTGGTTTCAAACAAGCAGAAACAGTTCCTGAGGCATCCCAGCCACAAGGCTATGGGGATAAAGGCAAGGCAGCCTGGGAGCCTTTTCTGCCATTCAGAAGAGTTCCATCTTGATCCCATAGGCTCCTAGGAGTCCTAGCAGCTTTTATGAAAGAGAGGAATTTGATCCAGAGTTTTTTTTTTTTCTTCCTAAAGAAAACTCTGCTTAGCACATAAAGGATACATTGAATATGGGAGAGCATTCGCAGCAGAGGGACCTATTAAGAGGCCATTAGGAGGCCGTTTGAAAAGTACCGGGGAGGGACTGGGCTAAATTAATGGTCCTGTGAATGAAGA